GGCGGGCGCCGCTCACCCCGGCTCACCCCCGCCCCGCCCTGTGTACGCGCTCGCTCCCCTCCCCTCCCGCGCTGGCGCGGGGTGAGATCTGCGCTTTCCTTGGAGCTTTCTCCCTCGCAGTCCTTACTGCAAAGGGTTAATATGCCCGCGGCTGGAGCCCAAGGAGACCTCCCAAGCCGCTAGCCGTCGCCCCAGCACCCAGACTCCCCTCTCTTCTTGAGTTTCATCATCAACAAACTGCACTGAACTTTAAATGGCCAGGCCAGATTTTCTCAGCCCATGTTCCCCGCCAAGGAGCAAAAGCAGTCCCTACCACCACTCCTTGACACACACACACACACACACACACACACACGCACACTTGAAAATTAACTAGACTACATAAGCTCATTAAATATCACACAGGTCTAGAAACTGACCAAAATTGAAGCAATGTTCCTCGTACCTTGAGCAAGGTAACAGCTTGTGAGGCGTTTGAGGAAGAGGCCTGAAAGCTCTATGTTTAAAAAAAAAAAATCAACACTTAGATATAAATTGCCACATGAGAAATGTTCTACTGATACTGTAGTACAAGGAATAGTAAAAGAACTCTTGGATGGCACAGTATCAAGGGAATAGACCGGTTACACTGTAGATCAATTAATAGGCTCCTGGAGGACTGGATATGATTCTAAGATTTGTAAGAGCTACACCATGAACACATGGCTCTCTTTTCCTTTCCCTTTATCCCTGTTTCCATTCTCTGTTGATTGCAGCTTCATAATAATTAGTATATGTTAGATATAACTTTTATATAAAAGTTGCTTCATTTACCATTGACAATCACCATGTGGTAGTTATTATAGTCTCTATTTACAGATGAGAAAACTGGAGCTTGTAGAGCCTAAGAACTTGGTTTTATTTAGGGCAGTTCAGTAAAACACATCCATCTGATTCCAGAGCCTGAGCTCTGAATCATCATGATGCTTTGCCCCCTCTAAAACAAAGCACTGCTCTCCTTATGGAGAGGCCCACCCACATACCTGACACAGGCCTGTCATTGCTGTGGACAGGCATTGTATTTACTGCTCAAAATGAGGTGGCCGCCTGATGCTCCAAGCACTTTGTCTCGCCTGTTTTCTATCTGCAGTAGAATGAGGCTTAATATCAAAGTCGGGTTTTTTATCTCCCTTCTGGGAGATTAAACCGTGCTCAGAATGTGAAGTCATCCAGAAGATCCAGTACTCATCCTGATGACTGGCCTAAAATTAAAGGCCAGACAAAGAGACCTGGAAAAGCTTCTGGCGGGTTTCAGGAAGGCAGTGTGATACTATGGACTGATAGACACTCAACACCAGTCACGTGCCAGCTCAGGCTCGGCCACATAGATACTCAAACAGCAAGACTGAATTAAAACAGTACTCAAAGTTTTCACAGGTACAACCCTCAAGAAGATAAATTCTAATGATACAGTTTATATTCAGCCAAAAGCGATCAACACAGAACCAAATTAAAACCATCAACAATGACATAACCCATGTAAAAAACAGAATTACCATTTTAATAATACTACATATTTACGTAACGATACTGAATATTTACAAAGCATATTCATTTATATCATCCCTTGGATCCTGCCAACAACGCTATGGGGTTGGAAGGGCAGGTGTTATCAATTTTATTATTATGTCATTCTCTCCATTTTTATGCATAAGAATACTAATTTCTGGTCATTTGCAGCTAGCTTATATAGCTAGTAAACAGCAAAAGTCGGGTTCAGATTTGGCTATTCTATTTTTCTTTTTATTATACAGAAATCTTTTTATTATGCTAGGAGTCCACCTTCAGGAAAATAGCAGAAATTGTTGCCGGCGTAGGACATTAAACTCCACACTTAACATTTGAGAGCTGATCTGCAGATTGGTCTGAATTGACCCACAGTGGGTATCACTCTTGCTTTTTAAGCAGTTTCTTTAGCATTATTCACAAAACCTTAGGGAATACAGATTTTGCAATGAGCATTCAGGGTTTTTTTGTTTCTTTGTTTTTTTATCCTTACCAGAGGATATTTTCTCCATTGCTTTTCCGAGAGAGTGGGAGAGAGGGAGAGAGAGAGAGACATCGATTGGTTGCCTCCCACACTGGCCCTGACCGGGGCCCAGGACCAAGCCTGCAACCCAGGTACTTTCCCTTGGTCAGAATCAACCCCAGGACCCTTCAGTCCGCCGGATGACACTCCAATCACTGAGCCAAACCGGCCAGGGCGAGCATTCAGTTTTTTAATGTTCTAGCTCAACCAGCCTGCGTGTGCTTGAAACTTATATTGCCACCTACCTGCCTAACATTTTTTTAAGGTTGAGATCACCGTTAAACACTGTTTTTATATTTGTACATGTTCAGAAAATGAAGAAATATAACTGAACACCAACCAGATTTAGCTCTTGCTGCTGAGTAATAATAGCATTTTCTCTAAGAACATTGTATCATTTAGTCATTCAAGATAAACCAGCATAAATCAGCTCAGCATCCTAACTTATGCACACACATCAGGGAGATGCTGATACATCTAAAGACAAAGAAGCCAAGATAATATACCAACCTCTGAAAGAAACCAGTTACGAGAAATGTAAAGCAGAAATTAGTCACTGAGAACTGAATGCAGAAACAAAGCTTGCTAACAAAACTACAAATGCTCAGAACAATACTTATAAATATGATTTTGTACAACTTTTGGGTGGTCAGGACTGGAGCCTGAAACCTAGAAAAGGAACAGATAATGAAAATCTAAAGAATCCAGCCTTCGGAGCAAAACAAAACTGGATCTGAAAGCCAGTACTGCCTTTTACTGGTTCTGTGACCGGGCAAATCAATTAACTTCCTCAAGCCTCAACTTTCTCCTCTATAGAGTGGAAATTAGGATTAGGGTCTCTTGTGGCTGGTATAAAAGAACTGAAGGAAGGACGATATGTGAAATAACCTGTCACAAAGTAATTATTCAAAAATTATTCACCGCTAGCTAAAGCTTGCCCTTTACGAACTAACCTTTTTTTAAATTTATATTTATTGGAAAGACACCAAGATGATGGCGTAGGTAACCGCAGTCCCCACTGCCTCCCCCAACCACAACAAAATTATAGCTAAGATACAGAACCATCATCACTCAGAGCCTCCTGGAATCTGGCTGAACAGAAGCTCTGCAACCAAGGAACTGAAGCAGCACCGAAACCGGCAGGAGGGGCGGAGATGCGGACAGATGGGGTCTGGATCCCGGAGACTCATCCAAGGGCCCACACCCGGTGCCGCGGTTGAAACCCGGGAGGGCATCTCGGTGGTGGGGGTTTCCGGGAGGAACGAGGGATCCCAGCCTCATAGCAGGCCCCCAGCCCAGGGCTCTAGGGACGGGAAAAGAAGTCTCCACAGCTTCGGGCAGTGAAACCAGCGGGGACTGTCCCTGAGGGTCGAGGAGGCTGCGGGAGCCCCAGCAGCTCCTCCTAAAGGGCCCGGCACCGACTCACTCGGACGCTCCCTCTGAGCCCAGCGCCGGGCAGCAGCCGGAAAGGACCCGGGACACTCGGGG